CCACCTTGCAAGCCTTTGTTTATCCCATAGACAAATCTCTTTGAGCCATCTAGGCCTGGTCCCCTTAACAGATTGGACTCTTGAGCGCAGCAGTGTGACCACCAACCAGGCAGAGGCCTCTCAGGATCCTCCACTAAGCTGAACTAGCACTGTGCTTATCTCTGTACCTCCTCATCCAGTATATCTTATAGTAGTTGAAAGCACCTATTGTTCTAGCTTTCTCTGGGTTTTACCCCAACACTCATTTTCTCTCTTTTTAACTTATTTTGAACAGATGATAATAAAACCTAGGTATACAATTGTATTTGATCATCTTTCATCTTCCGGATTTTTTCTCTCTTCCTCTGTAACTCTCCGGCTTCCATGACTTCTACCAGCCCCCCTTCCCTCCCATCATCATGCAGCTGCTGTTGGCTTACTGCCTTGTATCTCTATTTCCATATGTCTTGCCCTCTCCTCCTACTCTGAGAAGAATCTTCAGTAATCTACCATGCAATTTTTTCCTTTCATTTTGCTTTCTCAGTTATTATTTTTTTCTGGAAAAGCATTGTGGGTTTTGTTGTTTTTTACTCTTTAGTACCTTACAAAAGCATTTTGCTATGTGCACTAAAGTTCTTACAGTGACACACACTGTGCTTCTCTTTAGGTTCAAAAAAATTCTGTGCCAGTTCCATCAGATGAACAACCATTATGGCTACAGAGGAAAATTTGACATTGTTAGATTTAAATTTTCCCTCATTCAGCGATTCTCATTCAGTGATCCATGGACAAATGGAGATCAATGAGTTACTGCAATTCTGAAGGGAATGAAAGAGGAAAAATAATATAATCCCAAACCCACTTCATCATTTTCCTTAGATCTGTTATATTTTATACCTGTATCTTTTATGAAGATATTGTGTAATATGTTTGTGAATGAACATAATATATTATTAGCTATTAGCTACATTTTAATAATCATTAATATAGCTTTGATCCATTCTGCTATAGGCTATGCTACACATATTTAAGTATATTGCTTACATGGTAGTCCCAAAAGCTTTTGATAACAGTTTTCCTCTTCTTCCTTCCTCTTCCTCCTTCTTCACTTATATTTATGTTAGTTGTTTATATAACAACCATATCAACTAGAAGAAAATGCACATAAAAACCTTGACTTTGTCTTCCAAATTGTCAATGTTATGGCTTCATGTGAATTTCTCCAAACCACAGAGGGTAAGAACAAGATCACCTGAGAAAGAAATACAAACATTGTTTTTTTAAAAAGAAGAAATGGTATTGAGCAACCCTTCCACAATATTATACTTAAAATGCATCAAAAGACCTGTGTACACTTGGGAATTATTTCCCTTTTCCACTGACCTTGGCAGACACCTGAGAAAGCTCTATTAACCAGAAAGCTCTAAATGTCAGCTATTCAAGTTAGGCTTAAAACATTTGATGCTTTGTATGTGTGTGCCTTAATGGATATGTTCAGGACACAATAAAGAATCTACTGTAGATGTTCATTAAAAAAAAAACCCTATTTTGTGCCTCCAATCTCTCCTATATATTGAGAGCACACTATTATTGCCTAATGAATGTTATAGTCAACTTCTAAAGCAGTTTTATCTCTAACATATTGGTTATTTAATATCAGGCTACTAGCATGCCTCTCTCAAAGCCTATCATGGACATTTCAAAATTGTGTTCCAAGCTCACTCTTAGTAATTAACAATTGCAAACATCTTCAACTTGCTTTGCAGCAGTTCAGTGGAATTAAATTAAACCATTACATATTCCACCAGAACTGCACATGTCAGGAGCCACTGTCACATAAAGATAGAGACAAGCAAAAGGCCTGTTGTATTCCAGGAATGTGTCATCTTTCTGAGCCTTCAGTATAGCAGGGGATTTTCTGCTGACTGACTCCCACAGTCCTCTTGATTTTTTTGCTTACTTGCTATTTTATTGTCTGCTTTTACCAAGTATGTGTGCAGTGACAAAAGCAGGGAGAAGGAGCAGTAATTTCCCTTCATCCCTCCTTCCACTTCTGGAAAATCCTGGATAGTCAATCAGAGGAAGAGGGCAACTGAACTGACATAACTTAAGGAGGGAAGGCATGTGGCTCAAGAGTCCTCATCACCCAGAATGGAAATCCAATCGTATATTCCATCCTGAGCAGATCTGTTGGAAAGAACTTCACTCCAACTGAAGTTATTTCGCTTAAATTGGACCTTAGTAAAGCTAAGCTCTCTCCCAAAACACACAGTGTATATCTGGAGAGCTTGTGCTCTTAGATTTGACATATTAGGTTACAGAAATGGTTCTTTCCATCCATCCAAGTGTCTTCTGTCATCAGCGCTAATCACACACAAAATAAACCTGTCTCCTACAATTATAGCAATGTTTAAAATTCATTGCTTGTTTTTACTAAGAGAGCTCTTTTAACTAAATTTCTGATACTTAAGATTTACATACAGTTCTTTCATTAGAGTTCCTATCCCTTCTGTAACTTGCTGAAGTGAGCAGAATATATGGATTTTCAATTGCAATTCTAATTGTAGAATTCATGCTGTTCTCATTAAAGTTGATGGCTTTACTGCTTCCTTCACTGAACAAGGGATTAGATAATTTCATCAGGAAGTGTATTCTATGATTGCATTGTTGCTTGCTAGAAGATACTGAAATTCATTATATGCGAACTGTAATGTGGTAAGTTCTTTGTTCAGATCTTAACCAAAACTATGAACTCAGTGGGTGGCCTTACACAACCCACTCTGGTTGTGAACTGCAACAAAGATACCCCACCTTGCAATAATAGAGATAATTATCTATCCCACAAAGTACTGTAAAGGTTAGCCAAAGATAGAATCTATTTTTTTTTTTCTGAAAAAGGTTTTGGTTACTCTTCCATCTTGGAAAAAAGAAGGCTCAAAAACCTGCAGATTAGTCCAGCTCACTTCTGCTACTATAACTAAATAGAGCATATATATGCAGTTTTTCAAATCCATTCCAGTCCATCATTTAAACAAAAAATGTTTCCAATATAATAGTGACATAGGATGAACTACTACCATCTGAAATGTGAAATCAGAGAAGGTTTGTCTCATCTACCAGAGAGACACAGGTTTCTGCTGCAAAGACAGCTCTTCAGCTCCTGTTCTGTTTCTTATTGTTCCCAAGTTAGAAACAGTCTAATATATTTAGGGATAAAGAATATGCAACCAATGATTTAGCATACTCCCCTGATTACATGGTTCAGTTCCTAGCTTGGCTATCAATTTGACTAAGAACACATTGCAGGCTTTTTTCTATGAAGATTTGGACTGGATATGCCTGTCTCATGAATTAACTTGAGATACTTACTCTTTTCTGTGTGTGAGGAAAATACGTATCTTAGTCACAAAATAGCTCCAGTTCATAGGCCTTACAGCCCTCATTATCTGCCTCTGAGGTATTGTTGAAAACTATGAGATGAAGGGAAAATACGTAAGTTATAGTGTAGCAAAATTGCTTGTGAAATCTCTCCTGCAATTTAACATACCTTTACATACTTGTTTGGAGATCAGCCAGAGTGATTTGGTGGAGAAACAGATGCATGGAATCCCCATCAGAAATTTGATTGGCTAAATGATTTCTTCTTGGAAATTTCTCTGAAGCAATAATTTCTAAATTCACCTTACTTTTGGGGCAAAGTTTATACAATATGTTGATCAGGTGAGTTATGGGTCCAGTTGTACTGGGACAAAAGGGAATAGTTTTAATTGAAAACTGGTGCAGCTGGGAGTCCAACTACCCTCCCATAATTATCTGTGTTGTGTGGACTTGAAACTTGGTCAAGCAGGAGCACTATCCTGTTAGATTTTAAATCCTTGTCCAGTCAATCTCCCAAGGAACTGAAAGGAAGCTATGCAGAATTTAAAAAATGTAAATTATTCCATTGTAAAACTTGCTACTATGCCCTGGTAGCCACAGAACATGCCTTCCAAATACTGATACAGTACAGTACTCAAGCTACACCCTTTTTGGTCTGCTTGACCAGTAGGGAAAGAACTACTGATGCAGTGAAGTTTTACCAGTACTTTCCTGTTGCAGGGTCTCACGGATAGCAGGCAAGATGGAGGAAGATGTTGTTATGGTCTGTTGAGTCATAGCCAACTTCTGGTGATGCTATAAAAGCTCTCCAAGCCATCATGTCTCTCATTGCATTACACAATTCTTACAGGTACATTTCTATAGCATCCAGGACTCTGTTCACCTCATGAGCTATGTTAGCCTTTTCTCCTTCCATCTACCTTGCCCAGCATTATCATCTTTTCCATAGATGCATCAGCCCTCATGATGTGTCCAAAGTATGATAGGTTTTTTTTTTCATGATTCTTGTTTCCAGTGAGCATTCTGACTTGATTTCCTTTAGAACTGAATGGTTGATTCTCTTGGCTATCCAAGGAATGTGAATCAGCCTTCTCCAGCACCATAGCTCAAATAAGTCAGCCTTCGTCCTCTCACTCTTGCAAAGTCCATTCCTCACATCCAAACATCATAATAGGGAATACAACTGAGCTGACCACCCTAACTTTTGTGTTGATTGAAAAGTCTCGATATTTCATTAATTTGTCTGGGCCCCTCAATGTCTTTTTTGCCCATTGTTATTTATCTCTGAATCTTTTTTGCACATCCACCATCTTTATCCATTTTAGAGCCTAGAAAATTGTAACTATCAGCTACTTCTATCATCTCATTGTTTATCTTATTCTTCTAGTTTTCCAGTTGACATCACCTTAGTTTTCTTGATGTTCAAAGAAAAACTAGCCTTTTTGCTCTCCTGTTTTACTTTTAGAAAAATCATTTTTAGGCCTTCTTCAGTTTCTGCAACCAAGGTAGTGTCATCTACAAGTAGGGTCTCTGTAATTCCAAAATGGTAACCTTTGCCTTGTTAGCCTGATTGTGTGCCTCATGATCCAATGATATTGTTTGATCAGATTAGACAAACTGGGTAACTACAGCCAGTGTTGAGAAAAATTTGGAGACAACAATTATCAGAAGTTTCCTTTTTTTCCCCCCCATATGGTCTGAAGGATACCTCACCAATCATAGATGCCCAATCAGCATTGCTAAGAAACAAGTCAAGATAGCATCTCTGAACGATTGAAACCCTGCCCTTTTTTTTTTTTTTTATACAAATTGATGCACATAAAAAAGGAGTGGGACTTCAATTGCTCAGTCATGGCTGCCAACTTGACATTTTGACCCTCTCCCACCTCCAACAGATGCCCCCTAATCAATTTCAATCTTGCTCGCTTTGTATAGGCTACTGAGGAAAGCTATGATCGCAAGCATCTCCCTTATAGGTCATGAAGCTTAGGATCAGGGAAGAGGGGTGAGGCAAGAGCACCTGACTGACAGTAAGAAAACAGAGTCACTGCATTGTTGTTGTTTTTAAATCTAGCTTTGCAGCAATTTTAAGTACAAAGCTGATCTGGAAATAAATAAATACTGCTGACACTGTAGGATCTGCTTTCATACTGTTACAAGAGCTTATTGTGGATGTGCCTTTAATGAAACTTTTTTATTTATTAAAATTATTTGGATAAGAACATCTCAGATAGTATCCTATATGCTTCTTTGAATGAGAAACCCCAAATGCCTCTTTGACTTGCTATACAAAAGTGTACATATTATTATGGCAAAAGGCCACCAACCTTTCATTCAAAGGGAAAGACAACTTCTTAACTCTCTGTTCCAAAAATGAGTTATAAAGATGGATTGGGAACTTTCATAGTAATACAATATATATCATTAACCTTGGTCTCAAATGGTATTATTAATGTTATGCCAATACATTACATTTCACATGTAACAGGTCATCAGGAAAAGAAAAATGCCCTCGGTGGCATTGAGAAGATAATCACTACTAAGTGACAGAAATAATCATAGTTTTAAACCATGGGATAGCTCACTTCAGCTTAAATGATGCCAGCTTGTATTTTCATCCTTAGGACAATATTGAACCTTTAAATAATACATTGTTCATAGAATTGGAAGGGGCCATTTAGGCCACTGAGTTAAATGTTCTGCCAAATAAATGGTCCAGTTTAAAGCATCAGTTTTATTTTTTACTTGAGAAACTTAAAATGAAAGCAACTTTTATGTGTGTATATATAAATTTTATGGAACTCAATTAATTTACTAAGTGAAGAGCATGCATTTCAGTAGCTCAGAGCATAAAAATTGAAATGAATTGAGATCTTGCCCAAGAAATATTAACTAGATTGGATAAGTTAAAAAAATGTAAAACTAAATAAAGTCATGCTGAGTAAAGATGCACTTTTTAATAATTTCTTTTCTGTATAGGAATTAGTATTTACAGTTGGTCCTAGACATATGAAACCTAGGTTCATTTCCTCAGTAGCTTTTTAAGCTAATAATCACCAGCTGCTTTTTATACTCATTATCCATCTGCATAAATTAGTAGTCTCTGAACAAAGCTGAATTGAAATTCTCCATATTGCTGTGTATTTATTTTCTTAAAGTAGCTTAACAGATTTAGTTGCTGCTGTCTTCTGAGATTGCTTTCCCAATGTTTAAAAATATTCAGCAGCTTAGATGGTCTGACTACTGCATATAGACTACTGTACAAACACTGTTGGCAATGGTAACAACAATCTCATTGATGATAGTTGAGGTACATATTTCATACCTGTATTTTAAAAAGATCTCTGGCAACTGTCCATTTCTTATGGTGAAGAATTTGTAATGTTCCTTTTGATGAAAGGATGGATTAAATTTCCTTCGCTGACCAAAAGTTCTTTTTTCTATCTGTCTAGGAACCACAGGATGTTTCAGATTAAATTGAGGTAAGGCATGGGAAACAAGGTAGAGTTTTGCAACTAAGAGGGGTGAGCTAAGCAAGAGAATAAACAACCCCAGAGCAAATTCTTGGTGATGGTTAGCTTAGCTTTTTGGAACTAGATTGTTAATTATAATTAACAGATGCTTGTACATTTTTCCCAAACTATTATTACATAAGTAGCTTCCTTATGTAATAATATTACATAATGCTGCATAGTAAGATGCAATGGTTTGATGTAGGAGATTCTACATTCAGCCATAAAACTTATTGGCTGACTTTGGGGCGGTCGTTGTCTCTCAAGCTAGCCTACCTCACGCATTTATTTTGTGAAAATAAAATTGGAGGAGTACATACTATGTTTGCTGCTTAGAGCACTGAGAGAAAAGGTGGGATATACATTTTAAAAATAACTAATTGAATAGTATTGTCCGATGATTTGCTAGCATAGAATTGCCTATTTCGACTAAGAATGATTCTCCAGCGTATTCAAGCACAAGTCTTTCTACTTTCTGATCCTTTTTATTCTTTTCAACTCAAGAGGTTGGAAAGAGGGCTTGGGATTCTGTTCATCTGTCAGTACAACTCTCTGAAAAATGAACATAACCAATTTGCAAGGGGCGGGGGTGGGGGGAGCCAGCAAAAGAAATATTAAGTTAAAAATTGACCAGATCAGGCAAGTAGCTGCAAAGGAAAAAAAAAAACCCTCTCAAATTCACCCAATACTATTGGGATAGACAGCTCAGAATATTGACAACTGCTCCATTCTAAGCCCCTCCCCTCCTCCTTCCCAGTCACATGATCCAAAGTGGAGCATAATATGCAACTCACCCTAAGCTTCCTGGTGCACACCTACAGGAACAGATGGTCACTGGTGCAAAGAAGTTCAAAAGAATTCCAGAAGCCATTGCTCTTCATGTCTGTTTGTACTATTAACTGTAAACAGCCAGGACTGCATCTGGGACCTTCAACATGCAAAGCATTTTAAAGTTTCTTCAAGTATAATTAATACAGTATGAATCTTTTTATTTTCCAAAGTTTTCTTTGCATATAGAGTTAACTGCACTTTTCAGTTCATTTTGTTCTTTTCTATATTTTTCCTGTAAGCTTTCTTTATTAATGATATACAATTGATCATGGATATCACAAGAACAGAAAGCAGTCTTGATATGGCTGTGCATATGGTAGTATTAAGATTTTTGTGAGTCCCATGGGAATACATTTTGGAACTAAGGAGCACTTCGTAGAAGATAATACTGATAAAACAGCACATATTAGTATGTCATAGGTGTTGCTTTTATAACAATCATGATAACAAGACTGATATGTTAGGGGAATCAAAACTCTAAGATGCATGTGTTCTGATACGGAAATAACTATAGACGTTCTCCTATTTAAATGAAAATTTGGAAGGTATGGCACGTTGGTCAGAGCGAGCTTGCTTTAACAAGTGGGCTTTAAATGTGCTTATTACAAACAGGGAAAGATGTATCAGCATGCTTGGAGAAAGTCTGGAGTTCTCAGAATTACAAAAAAGGAAAGTGGGCTAAGGAAGTTATGGCTGGCTGGAAGGAACCCTTGATGGAAACAACTATAGAGAGATAGAGAGATAGAATGCAATATTTTTCTTGTGGTTGTTCTTATCCTTGTTCCTACCTATTATCTTCTGTCCTTGAAAAATGTTACCAAATCTGAGCAAACACAGCCCACTGTAATCCATTAATCCACTGGGGCCACTGACATCCAGATGTCCTCTGAAAGGGGTCTCTCTAGATGCTTCAGAGAGATGAGGGGAATTCAGACAGCCAGGATGCTGCAAGCAAAGCACTTCTTTTACCCAGTGAGCTTGCATTCTTTTGTGTTGTGTAAAGATGACAGAGTTTCCATTATCCAACACAATATTGCCCTTTTATTCTTTTTCTGTAGTTGCAAATGCTGGAAAAATGAAAACAAAGAAGGAGGAGGAAGGGGATGGAGAAGAGAAATCTTACATTCTTTTTTTAATCTTGTGCTATTTAAGGTCATGAAACTCATCAAGCAGAGTTAACAGTTTAGTTTATTGTATTGTTTGTGAATCTGCCCTTTGAGAAAGTGCCTCATCCCTTTTTCATTTCTTCCCAGCCTGCCCCAGTTGGATAAAGAAAAGGATTTGTGTTCACTTCATCAGCTCTGACCTCTTGGGTCAGCTCAGCACAGAGAACTTTCTTCCAATCTGGGCAGACCCAGCTGCCTCCCTCTCCTACTCTTCTTTTACTTTACAGTATGGACCAAGCAACCTATGCGAAACATGATTAAGAATGAAGATCTCTGCTTTTTCTTAAAATAGTAGAGGGGAAGAAGTGCACTTGGAATCAGAATTATGGAGAGGAATAATACTCAAAGGGACTAAGGATGGGGGGGGAAGCCTTCAAGGAAAAGAGGTGATACATTTTTACATTTCCTATTGCAGCAGCAGCAGCAGCAGCAGCAGCAAGAACAACTCTCCCCAATTTCTTTTCTTTCTAATAAAATGTTGACCACTTCCATAGCAAAGTCAGCATCAGCAGCACAAGTACAATCTGGGCACAATATTTCTCCCACAAATGCTTCTGTGAAAGGGTGATTCTTTTGGGGTGGGCTGCCCCCATAATGAAGTTTTTTTCACCAGGTACAAATGACCACCCAGCTGCCATATGTGTGATAATTCTGCCTGATATAGCAGGAAATTAGAGGGGAGAAAATATAGTTGTAAATATCCTGATACAGGAACATTCCAATACAGGTAGTCCTTGGGTTATGACTACTCACTCAGTGAGCATTCAAACTTGTGACAGCACTGTTTGTCCTTGCAGTTCTGGCTGTTGCAGCATCCTCACAGTCAGGTGATCACAATTTCTTACAATTTTCTGGTTCCCTGCCAGCTTCCCACAAGCAAAGTCAGTGGGGCAATTCAAGAGAGTACACCTACTTTTCTGAAAGGCATAGATCCTTTTCAAGGATAGACATGATTTGGATTTCAAAGAACCTGGCTACTAAGGTTTTTAAAGTAGAGATATTAGCAAAGACTTTTTCAGATCATAATCTTGTGAGTTTGGTTTATAAAACAAATCTAATTCTTTTAGATGGAAACTAAACGAAATGTTGCTACAGAAAGAAGCATTAGTGGAGGATTGCAAAAAGAAATTAAAATAATTTTTTGAAAATAATTTAGGTAAAGGCACTGATTTAAGAATGGTTTGGGATGCAAGTAAAGCTTTTATAGAGGTTATTTTATACAACGTAACAATGTACTCAAAAAGAAGAGTCAAGAGAAAACACAAGGTATTCTGGATGAGATAATGAGAAAAGAAGATGAATTAAAGAAATTTCCAGAGAAGACAAGTTAAGCTTTTACAGCAGCAATTATCCATGTTAACAGTAGGAGAAATGGAAATAAAAATGAATTAGGTAAAGCAAAAAAAATTGAGTTTCCAAATAAACCAAGAAGTGGCTAGCATATAAATTTTGAAAAGAAAATAGAAAATGATATTGAAATTAGAAGAGGGAGATACTATATTAATAGACAATGCAGCCATGCAAGAAGCATTTCATCAATATTATTACAACTTCTATAAAGGAAGTGACATCTCTTTAGAGAAAATAGATGAATATCTAAAGAAACAAAATTTCCCAAGGATTACAGAGCAACGGAGACAGATTATGAATGGACCTATAACAGTAAGGGAAGTTCTGAAGCTATAAAAAAAAAATTAAACCAGGAAAGGTGCCTAGACCAGATGGCCTTTCAGGTTCTGGATTATAAATGTTTTGAGGATCAACTTTTACAACCTTTACAAAACATGATGAACTCTATCTTAGAGGAAAGATGCCAGAGAGTTGGAAAGATGACAATATAGCGCTAATACCTAAAGAGGGACAAGATTTGACTTTAACAAGAAACGATAGGTCAATATCATTATTCAACAATGACTACAAGTTGTTCACAACAATTCTAGCTGATAGACTGAAAATAATTTTGCAAGAATTTATTAATGAGGATCAATGTGGGTGTTTTCCTAAAAGACAGTTAAAAGATAATGTTAAAAATATGTTGGACATTTTGGAATATTTAGAGCAACATAACGAAAAACAAGCCACATTGGTGTAGAGAAGGGCCTCTGACAATTTGAACTGGGCGT